GAAGTCTGTTATTTGGATTTTAACTTTAAAACATGGTCCTAGTCACTTTTATGCCTGCATACAGAAGAGAAATGTACCAGCTCTACCTCAAAATAGAACAAAAAATAACACAAATAATATATTCAGAGCTTAGTGTTGTGGGCGGCCTGTGATCACGACAAGCTGCCACGTACGCATGTTGTTTGTCTCACCTTTAAACATTACTATCTGTGTCTATACAGACATGGCAGCTTTCCATGTACACCTACGGAAATGCACAACTAATAGAGCCAAGCAGTACACACCTGGTACACTGTCAGAGCATTTCTTATTCTGAGGCCAAACTTATGTCAGGCACATGTGTCCCCAAGGTTCCTATCACACTTCACTGCAGGAATCTATATTACAGTTCAGTACACTTCCATTAGGCCATACTGTTCCTTTCAGCTGCTAATGTGCAACAAGGGGGACGTGGATTATGATGTCCAAGAACACTGGCGCTTCCTTCTAATAGTGGCAGGCAGCTGTGAACTGTTTGTATGTGCAGGGGCAATAAATGCCTCTATATTAGCGACAGAACGCACACAGAAGCACATAATGTTTGACGAGATTCATTGGTTTAGATCTAACTCTGCATCTTGAACATTATGACCCTGATTTATTACCACTTTGTGCCTGTCACAAAGTGTTAATAAATCTGGCCATAAATAGGAGTCTTCCTTACAGAGAATCTGCAGACTGATTTACTAAGTATTGTGCTCGCAGTTTATTGGCAATTTTGTAATAATTTACCATCAAATAAAAATCATGTCGTAACTTTTTTTTTATCAGGCATGCTTCACAGTTGAATTCATGTACATAAGTTTGGAGTCGCAACAGATAGACATTAGCTAAACCTAACTATCACATAACCATAACAGTGAGTTTTAAAAGAATTTTTGAAAGAATTTCTTTGGGTAATTCTATACGGAGTATATTGAGGTTTTGTACTAATAGGGCAAGTAAGTCTGCAGGTCTATTAAAGAAATGCACGCAAATGGGCTGCTTTTTAGAATTATTCGCAGTCGAGCTGGCGATTAGTAATTTTATCTTTTAATTGAGTATAAATTTTTCTGTTTATGAAAATTCATTTTTTTGGAAAATGTGGATTTTTTTTCCCAAACTGGGGCTTCCACATTTCAAAGTGATGTCAATTTGACAGCTTCTGTTCTAACTCATAACCGTTAAACTAGCTCACTTTGTAATACCACTAGCTACAAACTTCTTGTATGTCATATTTTCATAGGTTTCAGTGCAACAACTCACAACCTATGTAACAACTTGGATTTACTATTGTAGCACTTCGAATAACAAATGCTCGATCCAGTTTTTTCCAATTCCAATACCTTGGCTGAGCATATAAGCCGACATCCGATACAGGTCTGATTCAACTGTTAAATGAAATAACCATATAGATAGGTTTTAGATGTGTGATGTCATGATGATTCTATCTTACAACCGCCATGTTGAGTACCGAACACTTAGCTTAGCTCTGTGGCGCTTCCCCTCTGATGAGAATCTTTCTCATTTAAATCCCTGTGAGCTAAAACAACACGCAGAGAAAATCTTTGTTATTGGATGCGATTCTAAATGAAGTCCCTGCAAACTTTTTTCAACACTTTCTTAAACTAAAAGGCTTCCAGATGTTTACTTTCATGACAGATACATTATCTTATAGACAACCGGTCCTCATACACTGGAGAAAGCCTTAATGTGAGATAAAAAGTAAGAAATCTCTGGCTTCATTGTGCATAAAAGTGCAAAACAAAATGTTTCCCTTTTTTTTTGGTTTCTTTTCATTTTTAAACATTCTATAATTTCCCTTGTACTACACAATTATAAACGATGTTGTTTTCAACATATCCAAATGATTTTAATATTGCTAATACAACGACACACCTTAGACCTCTTTTGTAAAGATGTCTTTTAAAACCTATAATTAATCTTATATCTTGACATGGTCTGTATTCATTAACAATTTATGTTGAACTGTTTAAATAACAGCTTTAAATGTAAGTTTTTGTAAAAAGAGTAAAGATGCACTCCTTAGAAAGGCTTCTTTTTCTAAGTTGAGGTGAGACAAAAATAATAGTGTCCTTATTTCCATCAAAACTGGCAGAGAATTTAACATGATAAGAGACCATTTTACAATAAAAGATTGACCATGGTATTTTCAATGGTTATCAACTCTCTATGCCTACAATAATGCTTGTTTCTAAAAAAAAAAAAAAAAAAAAAATTGATGTTGATCAAATTAAACACTTTGCAATAGGATTTTGGTGGTTTTGCATGAATTAGATCCAGACAGTTCTGTAAGATACATTAAGGATATGCAAAAACACGGTTCAAAGGAAAATGTGTGGGGTAAATGACAAAATGCAGATATTAATAAATTTAAAAGAATATCTCTAAAGATTTCCTAATTTCCATTAATTAAATCCAAGCCCCTGGCAAAGTGCATATCAAGTAGGATTTGCAAACAAACAAGTGGCATAGCTATTTAGCATCAAACAGTGGAGTAACATGGGTTAGATCGCAACAGAATTAGGAAGCAGGAGAACTCAAGAGGGGAGGACACAAGAAGCTGAGAGAGTAAGGAGACACCATACTTTTTGTTTTCTTTCTATGTTTACTTACTGATCTGTATCTTTCTTAAGCTAATAGTTTGCTTTGCTTCATTGGCATGTAAAATAGACCTATAGGATTCTTCGCGACACTGACACACAATAAAAGCTGTGAGCAGCAAGTGTTGCATCTGTGTGCATCTGGAGCACACACTGTCCCTGTTTCTGCAGATCATTGGTGTTTGCATGTGTGAGTAAAGAGAAGAGAACAGCAGAGCAACCTCAGCCTGACACTCATCAACGTCTGGCTGTTACATTTCTATGACACGCTCTGTCTCTGTCGGAACAGTGACGGTGGCGCAGAGGGAGTGGGAAGATGCTGGAGAATGTAGTTTGGACAGGACCAAGAGGGGAGAAATGAAGAGGCCAAAATGAGGACTGAAGAAAACTTTCTTTCTTACAAGTTGTACCCGAAAACTTTCTCTTCTGGGAACGTATATACGTGCATTCTAAGTAAAATATCATATATTAGGATTTGTCCAAAATGCTTGTCATGTTTAGCAACCGAGAAATTATTTTTTTATCATGAACCTGTCTCCTGTTTGTATAAAGTGCTATTGTGAAGCTTTGTCTTTGGATTTCATTTTAATCATAAAGTATAAGGGCCATGTTTACGCGGGTATAAATAGACTTTTTCAATAATCTTTTGAAGGAGTTTTTAATGCTTCTAATACAACTCAACAATATAAAATGTTTTGGTTTTACAGCACTTTAAAGACATGAGATGCAATTAAAGGTTCTACCAGACAAGAAGGACTCTTTCAGAAATTACTGTATCTCAGGAGACAGATATGTTGTTGCTCCTGCCCTCCTGGCTGGTATCTTTAGAAACATGAGTCATACCTTTCTATTGTACCTCTTTTTTGGATGTGTGTAATGAGGTAATAAAAGTAGTAGTCGCTTTTATTACCTCCTAATTTACCGCTGTTATAGTAAATATGTTGATAAATGCAGTCTGAGGTGTCTCCTAGGGTTTTAAAAGGTTTTCAGGATGCTTTTTTAACTGTTCATTATGAAAACATTTTGGACAAGGCCCAAAAAGAAGATTTTTTTTTTTTTTTATTAAACAGGAATTAATAAGACATTGTTATTCTTTTATCTATTACCTATACACTGATAGCAAATGGTTGTATTTAAACATGATAATTTTTTTCTTCAATTTATTCTTGATTTGCTTTTTTTGGATTTTTTTTTTTTTTTTTGCTTACACAAAGGGAACATCCTGACTTTTATAATGTAGTGTTTCATTTCGACAAAGGGCTAAGGTTCACTTGGCTAAATGTACACAATTAATCTTAATTTATGCCTATAGTCTTAACCTATGCTTGCTAACAGTTTCTGTTCAGTACAAAATGTTTCATACTTTTCCCGTTTCCATCCTCTCTCAGTAGCATGCAGTTACAGCTGAAGGCACTTTTAAAGATAAGAAATCCCTAAATGAGAAAATCAAAGGTAGTTTAATACTGTACAACATATAACTCTGATTTTACATAAAACATAAATAAAAAAATGTCCTCAACGGGAATGATATAACTTACTAATTAAAATGCACAACAAACCTTGATCCAAAAAAAGAAAAAATGAAATCTTCTGTTTTTACACTGATTCTGAACCACAAGCTTATCTTAACATAGCCCCCCCCCTCTCCTTTACTGTTTAGTCAAAATGATCATAATTTGTCTACTTTCATGTTTTTTAAATGTTGCTCAGAAAAGCAGAAATGCCCTCTAGCCTTATACTTGGTTAATTTGCAGGATAATAGAAACAGCTTGTTTCTCAAGGTTACTGGAGGTTAAGGATTCTAAGTTTAGAGATGTATTTGTCTGAATACTCTTAAATTGGCCTTTAGGTTAAGACTGTCAGGTTCTGCCTTTTAATCATGGGCTTTAAGGGTTTAAACATCACTTTTGATACGGCTTAATAAAACCAAATGTTTTCATTTCTGTCACTGTCTTAAAAACAGATTTATTTGGAGCATGGAGACCCAACAGAATGCCCAAACAACCAATAAAATGCAAAAATAAGATTAATGCTACTTCACAGGGTGATATTGAACTGTTCACTCTTAACTACAGAGCTCCCTAATTCTATACCTTTCTCTGCTTTTGGTTAAAAGGTACGAAGCAGAGAAGGTTCTGATCAATGCTTGAGAACATCCCCTTGAGGGCAGACACATGGAATAGTTAAAAACTGGCCTTCAAAAGGCTAGGCTATTGATTGAAAAGCTTTCCAAAGTGTTTTTCATCTCTTGTGACTACAGAAAGATAATAGCGGCTGGTGTGCAGCCGGGTGCAGATGGTACAGCTGACCACCATGGAGGGGAGAGAGGACGAGTCAATAGAGGAGGGAAATACGTACCCCTGGCAGTGTCTTCTGTTCATGGAGGGCGTTTTGGGCCTTAATGGCTGACTCACGGGCGCAGTAGGTGAGGAATGCACAACCTGAAACAAAAGGAATAGAAAAAAAAATATGATCAGAGTAAGACAAGGGATTCATATGTGTAATTAGGCATAACAGGGACAGAAACTTGAATTTAAAATAGTAAACCTATCAGAAAAAACTGAGCTCTTTTTTTTTAAGTCAGATTTTGTATTATTTGAAACATACAGCATGGGATTTAACAAAAGAAAGAAAACAAAATCTCATTGGAAATGTAAAGATGGAAAAAATTGAGAAAAAAAGAGAGAGAGAGACATGTACAGAGAAATTCTTAAAGCAAATGTCAGGTAAGTCCAGGATCCCTCTCCCTATTGCCATGTCCTGCCCAAGCCTTCTTGCAAGCCGTGCCATTGTCCTCCTAATCCCAAACAGCTCTGACAGCAAAGCAGGCCAAAGAAACAAGAGAGTGGAGAAATATTCAGAGAGACAGAAATGGAAAAAGAAGGTTGAAGGAGACAAGCTCAGAAATGCAGGAGAATAGAGGGGGCGATCAGAAGATATGTGAAACTTGGAGGGGAATTCTCAACTACAATATGTCAAACGCACTGCCATGTTCACATCCACACGCAATTGTAGACATTGTTGGGATCCTAGTATCCACAACCCAACATGACAGACATAGGTATATGCAGTGATTTAAGAGGGTCTACCACAGGTCTAATTAAACACTAGATAAGGCAATTAAGTGGAAAACATGCAGATAAAGAAACAATTTCTATCTGTTCTCAATCAGCAAATTAACAAAAACATAAACATTAAAATATTAAAATCCTCTGTAGCCAACAGTTCCTTTTTGAGAAAAGGGGACATCTCAATGCACTTCACAAAAACAATTCATACAATTAGTTTGGTTCAAATTTGTCTGACAACGGAAACCCATCTGATTGAATCAAGTCGTTGACTTTTCAGGATTTTTTGCTTCCTGGATGAGCATGTGGGGAACATAGCGTTGGTCAGAAATTCAGATTGTGGTGGAGCTCCTTACACATTAGCCAGAATGTGTCTATTTTAGGGCTGCAACTAAAGATTAATTATTAATCTATTGATTCTTTTTTCAATTAATCAATTAATATTTGGATAGCCAAAAGTTATTTAAAGAAGATATTTACTAAATTAAACCAGGTGAAACTAATAGTCTTCCACTTTAGGAGTTCTGGTGAGCGTATTGACAGACAAAAATGTTTTCTTTTAGGGATGCACAATATAATCGGCCCCCTATCGGTAACGGCCTGTATCGGCCTCAAAACTGAATATCAGACATTGGCCACCCCACCAATATTTAACCCGATATTTGATCAGCTTCTGAGTTTCTAAAGTCTAAAAAAATAAATAAATAAATACTACTTCTTCTTCTTCCTCAAAAACTTCTTTTTTACAGACTTAAAATCTTCTAAAGACGAGGGAAAAAATATTGATACATTAAAATATCCCAATATCTTCATATGCTGATATATTGCCATTTAAAAACACCATATCAATCTCTTTTACTAATGAAATATTGCTATATGTCATCGTTATGCTACGAAATCCCCCGAAAATTCACAAAATTTTGCCATATTTTAATATGTTGATATATTGATGCGGTATCGATCTATTTTACTAACAAAATCTCACAAGAATTTGCAAAAAATCACGAGAGTTTGTAACAGAATGATGAAATGTCACGAGATTTTGAAAGTAAAATAGATCGATACCGCGTTTTTAAAAATCTATTTGATATCAGCATATGAAAACATATTTGAGTATATTATTTTTTAAAGTGTCAGAAATGGATAATAAAACTGCTATTTTCAATGACTACTTATTTTTATAAAAAATATCGGTATCGATATCGGTTATTGGCTACATGAGTTTTAAAATATCGGCATATCGGATATCGGCCAAAATTACAATATCGTGCATCCCTATTTTCTTTATCTTGCAATGCAAAATGTTTACATATTTTTTGTACAATTTTGGTAAAATAAAAATAAAAAACTTTTTAAAGTGGGTTGCTCTGTCAGCAAAAGAAATGTTTTAGAGTCTCTTTACTCTAGTTAACAATTAATTGAGTACTGTGACAAAGTGTGAGGAATACACATACATTCCTGTCAACATTTAAACACAGCTGAACAACCTGTCCTTAATGGTTGATTTAATTATGCTGTAGACTTATGAAAAGAAAGAACACCAAAGGTTCTTGACCCAGAGGCATGACTGGTTATCAGCTGATTTGGCCCCATAGAGCTTTGCTGTTCATCACAGGTGTTAAACAAGGGGAGGTCAGTTTGCATAACTCTGAATATTATTAACTTCTAAAATTATTATATTTATCAAAGATCCAAAATAATTGATGAAATACTATGAAACATTAAAACAACATAACCTATAGCTTAAACACAACCATAGATAGGTGTATTGCTTCACCACATTATCGGGGGCGTTTTCGCTGAATTTGAGATAAAGATGGCCAAACAAGAGATGGATGCTTGGAAGCGAACTTTGAGGCACAGCTGTAACTTAAAAATGAAGATTGCTTGGTTTATATACAGTCCAAACAATGCTTTAAAGGTAAGATGCTTTGTCTTGGAGTGGTCATAAAATTCACTCGAGTATAATCCCTATCCTAGTGCCGCCAATTAGGAAATACCTAACAGATGATTTCTTTAACTGTATCATTCTGTCACTGCTGTGATATAAAGTATTACCTGTTTTGAAAAACCACAAAATTCTAAGCATTTTTCATATAAAGTGCTAGTGCTTTTAATCCAAATAATCTGTTTCATCCCAGTTTTGAATGAGATCAAATCATGAATACTACAGTTTCAGTCACATAGAAAAGTGACACTTGAATTTGCTTCCTCTCAGTTTTTGTATATTGCCTCTGATGTGGATTTAAATGGACTAAATGATGTTAAAATTTACTCAGACACCTATTATTGGAAAAACTGAAAAATTTCCAAATTTAAGGAATCGTACATCTAACCTTAAGCAGAGAAGAGCCTGAAAGTTATTACATTGGATATTGCTGCACACTTAATACATCAAAACGAGAAAAGGTAAAAAAAAAAAAAAAAAAAAAAGAGAGAGCAACAAAGGCAAAAAAATAAAAAATAGGGGAGAAGGCAGACGGAGTACTGAGGCAATCATTTCGCCCTGACTATCCGGATAAATAGATTTGCTTGTGTTCTATTAATGAGGTTCATATGGGTCAGCATGCATCATATTTCTGCCACTCTGAAGATGGTTTATTAGCAGCCCTTGCATTCTGGATCTCATTTCATCAACCAAATGTATTCAGTGGGTGGTGATGTATTAAGCGTCTTTACACGGACAATATTCCACTCCATTTTTCTTCCCTCATACAAGATCGCCTTTATTCATCCATGAACCATATTTTTGTGCCTTAACTGTGTGGCTGTGTCTCTAATGTAGCGTTGACAGGAATGCCTTAAAGAATCGTTGTTTCATGACTGTCTCAGAGCTTTTTCTTTTATTTATTCAAAGACTTTTGTCTAGGTTTCGTCTCTGAGCCCCAAACATAGGGATTACGAATTAAATAGGAATTTGTTTATTTTATGAAGAGTCTGCACCCTACTAAGTATGAAAGAGGCATTGGAGGAGTCCTTTAGGGGTCAGGACCTGACCTTGAGGTCGCCCACTTTCACCCAACAGCCCAACCTAATGATTTTCAATGGCTAAGTAAATCACCAAAATAACCACAGAGCTGTTGAAAGAACGTCATTCTTCTGTAGCAGAATGTTGAAAAAAGAAAAACACAAAGATGAAGAAAGCTGCAGTTTTGGGTTTGTTTGTTTCTTTAATCAGCAGGGGTAAAATGGAATGGCTCTATCAGGGCTCTTGGTTTTCCTCTTTCTCTTCTGGTCTCTCTGGGCTTGTTGTTGTTGACAAATGGTGGCCCTATCTTTGAATACAAAACGAGTATTTTGCATTACAATCAGAAAAGACGATTTATTTGTTAATGTGTAATGCATAGGGCTTGCCGAATAAATTAATAACAAGCACAACACTGGAAAACAAAAGAGAAACATGAACTCCATTTAAATGTGATTCTGTGCTCTTTAATGTATGGCTTAATAAGAATTTGCAGGCCACAGGCAAAAAGGCTTTAACAACTCCATAATTGGAATCCAAACACGTACAAATTGCCAGTGCTGCATTGCATACCAAATGCGAAAAAGTGTGCTTGGGTGGGGGTGGCGTGGGGGTGGGCATGATGAAATTGTTTGAAACACAACAAAAATCCACTGTAATCAAAGCCTGCTGACACAGCAATGGGGGAAGCCCTCCCACTGTGAGGAGATGATCCTCTGCATCATCTGACAGAAACTTAACATAGCTTTATCTCACACATTGATTTCATCTCTGAAGAGAAAAAAAATCTTTGCAGTCTTTACCTCCTCTTTGCTCTCCACGCTCGCCTCTTATCCCCTATTGCAACTCCAGGTTGGGTACGGAGAAATGGTCTAAATCTCACCATCTTAACTGTTTAATTGGCATGTAATTAAGAGTGTCGGCTGCTAGATGGAGTGAGTCCTCTTCCCTCATGCAAATCGTTCCATATGTGGTCTCTATAATACAGCCTTCTCTATTTTGTTCCCAAAAGAGTCAATTGTCACTGGATATTTAAACATTTTCCCAAATGAGTAATAGAAAACTTAAACTTGTTAAGAATAAATTCTCACCTCTGCTTCCTACATATATGTTGTCATTTAGTTCCTTTCAAATCCATAAACATGTTTTCAATCATGCTACTCAGAGCATGTTAATTCGAATACCAATTAAATTTTATTTCTCATGTTGTATGTTGTTCATTTAGTCGTGTCTCTTACTTCTTTTTTTTTTTTAGTATATTTAACCTACTAGAATCTCTGTGCAACCATTTGCTTCTCATTTTGCTGCTAGTAAAGCTAGATTTGACCCATAAGGGAAACAATGGACATTGCTATGCTCTCACTATTCTGTTCTGTTCTATTTTATTCTTTTTTTAAATATTTCTTCT